CCGAGCTGCTGGGCCCCTCTCTTCCCGTCGATGGTCCGGCGTCGTCAAGGCGCCAGACCATCCGAGCTGCTGGGACCCTCTCTTCCCTCAGTTCTATTGTCCGTCCCACTGTTGCTGAAGCTGCTCGTCCCACTGTTGCTGCAGCCGCGCATGATGCTGCCCGTCCCGCTGTTGCTGTGGCTGCTGGTGATCCTGGCTGCTGGGCCCCTCTCTTCTCGCCGATGGTCCGACGTCGTCAAGGCGCCAGACCATCTGGGCTGCTGGGCCCCTCTCTTCCGTTAGTTTTGTTGCCCGTCCCACTGTTTGTGCAGCTGCCCGTCCCACTGTTGCTGCAGCAGCTCATGACGTTTCCCGTCCCGCTGTTGCTGTGGCTGCTGGTGTTCGTGGCTGCTGGGCCCCTCTCTTCCCGTCCATGGTCCGGCGTCGTCAAGGCGCCAGACCATCCGATGGTACGGCGTTGTCACGGCGCTAGACCATCCGATGGTCCGGCGTCGTCAAGGCGCCAGACCATCCGAGCTGCTGGGCCCCTCTCTTCCCTCAGTTCTGTTGCCCGTCCCACTTTTGCTGAAGCTGCCCGTCCCACTGTTGCTGCAGCAGCGCATGATGCTGCCCGTCCCGCTGTTGCTATGGCTGCTGGTGATCCAGGCTGCTGGGCCCCTCTCTTCCCGCCGATGGTCCGGCGTCGTCAAGGCGCCCGACCATCCGATGGTCCGGCGTCGTCAAGGCGCCAGACCATCCGGGCTGTTGGGCCCCTCTCTTCCCTTAGTTCTGTTGCCCGTCCCACTGTTTCTGCAGCTGCCAGTCCCACTGTTGCTGCAGCAGCTCATGATGTTTCCCGTCCCCTGTTGATATGGCTGCTGGTGTCCGTGGCTGCTGGGCCCCTCTCTTCCCGTCGATGGTCCAGTGTCGTCAAGGCGCCTGACCATCCGATGGTCCGGCGTCGCGTCGTCATGGCGCCAGACTATCCGAGCTGCTGGGCCCCTCTCTTCCCTCAGTTCTGTTGCCCGTCCCACTGTTGCTGAAGCTGCCCGTCGCACTGTTGCTGCAGCAGCTCATGA